GAGGAAGGGGGCACCTCAGCGCCCTTTGACCCCGGGGTCGGGGTCCCCAAACCTGAAGCGCGGCCCCTGCGCGTCCAGCCCGGGTCCGAGAGGGCGCTCTCGGGGAGACGCGGGCGCCGGCGCGCCGGGAGGCGGCCGAGCGGCGCGGGGCGGGGAGTGGGGGCGGGAGGCGGTGCGCGCCCCCTCCCCGCACCCTCAGCGTGGGACCCGGCGCGCCCTCAAGGGGCGCGGGGGCGGCCCAGGCGCCCCGCAGCGCCCCGCGAGCGCAGCGGCCCCGACCCGCGGGCGGCGAGTTCCCGGTAAGTACGGTCCCAGGAGCGGAGCGCGCCGGGGAGGCGTGGAGAGGGGGGCTGGGCGCCGGGGACGTCTGGGTCCCGCGCCCAATGGCTGGAGGGCGGCCGAGCGCCGCCCGCCCGCCCGCTCTCCCCTCCCCCCGGCGCTCCCCTCCCCCTCCCCCGCCCGCCGCTTTCCCCCGCCCCCGCCCCGGCGCCAACTCCGCGGCGCCTCCTTAAAAAGCGCGCGGGAGTTGTAAGGGGGGGCCGGAGCGAGCCGGAGTGAGCGCGAGCGCAGGGTAAAAGGGGGCGGGCGGGGGGCCCGGGCTCCACCTTAAAAGCGGGCGCGTGGGGGTGGGAGGGAGGAAGGCGGGCGGCCGGGAGGAGGGAGGGAGGGAAGGAAGGGGGGCCGGAGTGTCCCGGGCGCAGGGCGCGCGTGCGGCGGCGGCGGCGGCGGGGAGGGGCCGGCCGCGCCGCGCACCCCTCCTCCCTCGCATCCCCGGCCCCGCGCGCGCCCAGCAGAAGCGGGTCTGTGTGTGCGTGCGTGCGAGTGAGTGAGTGTGTGCATATTTTTTTTTCTCTTTTCTTTCTCTCTCACTGTTTTTTTTTTTCCTCTCTCTCTCTCTCTCTCGCTCCCTCTCTCTCTCTCTTTTTTTTTTTTTGCAAAGAAACAGCAGCGCCGCCGCCGCTCCGCCGAGGCGCTGCGCCCCCCGGGGGGGGGAGGCGGAGGAGGCGGGCAGCGGCGGAGGGAGGGGAGCCGGGGAGGGGGGCGCCGCGCTGGGAGGGAGGCAGCGCGCACGGTGCAGCCGGGCCGGGCGGGAGGCATGGCGGGGCCCCCGGCCCTACCCCCGCCGGAGACGGCGGCGGCCGCCACCACGGCCGCGGCCGCCGCCTCGTCGTCCGCCGCTTCCCCGCACTACCAAGAGTGGATTCTGGACACCATCGACTCGCTGCGCTCGCGCAAGGCGCGGCCGGACCTGGAGCGCATCTGCCGGATGGTGCGGCGGCGGCACGGCCCGGAGCCGGAGCGCACGCGCGCCGAGCTCGAGAAACTGATCCAGCAGCGCGCCGTGCTCCGGGTCAGCTACAAGGGGAGCATCTCGTACCGCAACGCGGCGCGCGTCCAGCCGCCCCGGCGCGGAGCCACCCCGCCGGCCCCGCCGCGCGCCCCCCGCGGGGGCCCCGCCGCCGCCGCCGCGCCGCCGCCCACGCCCGCCCCGCCGCCGCCGCCCGCGCCCGTCGCCGCCGCCGCCGCCCCGGCCCGGGCGCCCCGCGCGGCCGCCGCCGCCGCTGCCGCCACAGCGCCCCCCTCGCCCGGCCCCGCGCAGCCGGGCCCCCGCGCGCAGCGGGCCGCGCCCCTGGCCGCGCCGCCGCCCGCGCCCGCCGCTCCCCCGGCGGCGGCGCCCCCGGCCGGCCCGCGCCGCGCCCCCCCGCCCGCCGCCGCCGTCGCCGCCCGGGAGTCGCCGCTGCCGCCGCCGCCACAGCCGCCGGCGCCGCCACAGCAGCAGCAGCAGCCGCCGCCGCCACCGCCGCCGCAGCAGCCACAGCCGCCGCCGGAGGGGGGCGCGGCGCGGGCCGGCGGCCCGGCGCGGCCCGTGAGCCTGCGGGAAGTCGTGCGCTACCTCGGGGGTAGCAGCGGCGCTGGCGGCCGCCTGACCCGCGGCCGCGTGCAGGGTCTGCTGGAAGAGGAGGCGGCGGCGCGGGGCCGCCTGGAGCGCACCCGTCTCGGAGCGCTTGCGCTGCCCCGCGGGGACAGGCCCGGACGGGCGCCACCGGCCGCCAGCGCCCGCGCGGCGCGGAACAAGGTGAGCGCGCGGGGGCGCCGCGCGGTGGGCAGGTGCGGGCGAAGTTGGTGGCGGGGGCGCGCGGGTCCCGGGAGGAGCTGGGCGGCTGGAGGGGCGGGGGGGGGGCGGGAAGCCGGGGCTTGGGCGCGCGTTTTGTGCGGGCTGGGGTTGCCTGGTGACCTTGGCAAGTGACTCCATCTCCGCCAGCCTCAGTTTCCAACGCTGGTTGGATTTTTTTTTTTAATTTATAAAAGAAAAAGGCGGCTTCCTGGCGGTAGCGACCCCTTGGGGTTGTTGAACGACTTTAGCGGGATCTGGCCGCGGATGGGGGCTGGACTCGCGCGGCGCCTGGCACGGAGCGAACGCGCGCGAAGTTGGTGCGCGTCGTTCTTGGAGGTGGCGTTGGGCTCGCGCGCACGCGCGCGCGCCTCAGGCCCGGCTCCTCGGGGCTTGGCGGGGACGGGGGCGGGGTGTGCGGTCTGGGTCCGGGATCGGGCCAGCTGCCGACCCGGCGCGCTTCTCTCCGCGGCCCCTTAGAGAGCTGGCGAGGAGCGAGTGCTTGAAAAGGAGGAGGAGGAGGAGGAGGAGGAAGACGACGAGGACGACGACGACGACGTCGTGTCCGAGGGCTCGGAGGTGCCCGAGAGCGATCGTCCCGCGGGTGCGCAGCATCACCAGCTGAATGGCGGCGAGCGCGGCCCGCAGACCGCCAAGGAGCGGGCCAAGGAGTGGTCGCTGTGTGGCCCCCACCCTGGCCAGGAGGAAGGGCGGGGGCCGGCCGCGGGCAGTGGCACCCGCCAGGTGTTCTCCATGGCGGCCTTGAGTAAGGAGGGGGGATCAGGTGAGAGCCCCCCCAACACCACCACCACCCGAACGCTGGCCGGGCAGGCGCGCCCCCGTGGCAGCCGCAGGAGAGCGTCAAGGGCCGTGGGTTTGTCTTTGGCAGCCTCTTCGACCACCGGGCCTGACTCCCCGTCCCCGGTGCCTTTGCCCCCCGGGAAGCCAGCCCTCCCAGGAGCCGATGGGACCCCCTTTGGCTGCCCGTAAGTGGCAAGGGGTAGGGGTGGGAGCCGCCCGCAGCAGGGAGGGGGTGCTGCTGTCGCAAGTGCGGGGCTTTGGACGTTCATGGTGGCCTCTGTTTGGGTGCAGTGCCGGGCGCAAAGAGAAGCCGGCAGACCCCGTGGAGTGGACAGTCATGGACGTCGTGGAGTACTTCACCGAGGCGGGCTTCCCTGAGCAAGCCACGGCTTTCCAGGAGCAGGTGAGTCCCCGCTTGGGGGCTCTGCGCAGGCGCGGCGCTTCCGTCACCCCGGCGCGGCTTCTAACTCTGCTGCCCCCCATCCTTTTTTTTTTTTGCCTTGCCTCTGTGTGCGCGCGCGTGCGCTCTCGATGCCTCCCAGGAGATCGACGGCAAGTCCCTGCTGCTCATGCAGCGCACCGATGTCCTCACCGGCCTGTCCATCCGCCTGGGGCCAGCGTTGAAAATCTATGAGCACCATATCAAGGTGCTGCAGCAGGGTCACTTCGAGGACGATGACCCGGAAGGCTTCCTGGGATGAGCACAGAGCCGCCGCGCCCCTTGTCCCCACCCCCACCCCGCCTGGGACCCATTCCTGCCTCCATGTCACCCAAGGTGTCCCAGAGGCCAGGAGCTGGACTGGGCAGGCGAGGGGTGCGGACCTACCCTGATTCTGGTAGGGGGCGGGGCCTTGCTGTGCTCATTGCTACCCCCCCACCCCGTGTGTGTCTCTGCACCTGCCCCCAGCACACCCTCCCGGAGCCTGGATGTCGCCTGGGACTCTGGCCTGCTCATTTTGCCCCCAGATCAGCCCCCTCCCTCCCTCCTGTCCCAGGACATTTTTTAAAAGAAAAAAAGGAAAAAAAAAAATTGGGGAGGGGGCTGGGAAGGTGCCCCAAGATCCTCCTCGGCCCAACCAGGTGTTTATTCCTATATATATATATATATGTTTTGTTCTGCCTGTTTTTCGTTTTTTGGTGCGTGGCCTTTCTTCCCTCCCACCACCACTCATGGCCCCAGCCCTGCTCGCCCTGTCGGCGGGAGCAGCTGGGGGTGGGGGGAGGGTGGGTCCTTGGGTCTGTCTCCCCCCTCTCTCCCGTTGGTTCTGTTGTCGCTCCAGCTGGCTGTATTGCTTTTTAATATTGCACCGAAGGGTTGTTTTTTTTTTTTTTAAATAAAATTTTAAAAAAAGGAAAAGAAAAAAAGATACACGCGCGCACGCCACGGAATCCATTTTATGAATGGGGTGGGGGAGGGGCGTGGGAGAGTTGGAGGGAGTGAGGTTTAAAGAGGGCTGGGGGAGCTTTGTTTGGCCTTGGCGGCATCCTCGCCCCGTGCCCAGGACGGGACGGAGCCTAGCAGGCGGCAGCAGGTGCAGGCACATTGGCTGCCCCCTGTCTTGCAGCCGCAGGGGACGAAAGAGCCCATTTAAAAAAAAAAAAAAACTCACAGACCGGGCACCTGGCTCAGCAACACCTGGAAGGGTCCGCAGGGTGGAGTCCACACCTGTGTGAGCTGATGCCCAGAGCCTGGGGCTGCCGGCTTCTACACGCTACCGGAGAATCCCAAACCCGCAGAGGCTGGGGAGATGGGGTGGGGGGCCCATCAGTTTGAGACCCCGGCAGAGGAGCCAGCGGGCAGCTGGGACCCCGTAAGCTTATTCTTCTAAGTGTAGGGTCTCAAGTCCACACCTGTTGTCAGAAAACAGAAGCCGGGTGAAGGGGGTGGGGTGGGGGTGCATCCATCCACTGTACCTACGCCCTGAGCGCCCGCGTTAGGAAACCGCCAGGAAGAGCGCCAAGGCTGCGCGCACACGCACACACCCCCGCCCCGCAAGACACGGTTTCCCTGGGGGCGCCTCCTCCCCGCCCCCCACCCACTCTGGAACGCGAGACCCGCAGCGGCGCGCCCACCTCCCGCGGGGTTGAAATTCAAACGAGGCGAACTTCGCGCACCTCCACCCCCCACCCCGCGGCGCGGCCGGCGGAGAGGTCAAGGTAGGAGGGCCAATCGGAGCGGGCTGCGCTGGGCTCCCAGCCCCGGCCGGGCTCCTGGGGGCGGGGTCGAACCCGCAGCCTGCCAGCGTGAGCAGCCTCACTTCAAGAGCGCAGGGTCCAGCCGGCCAGGCCTAGGATGGCTTCGGAACAGTGGTTCATGGGGCCCCTGCCTCTGCCCTGCCCTGGCGAGACGCCGCCCACCGACGGCTCAGAAGCCGGGCCGCAGCCCTGCGGAGACCCCCGCTGGCTGATGTCCCCCGGCAGGCCCGGGGACCCACTGGAGCCGCTGCTGGAGGCCCCCGCCTGCACGCCCTCCCCGGAGGAGCCCCTGGCCCCTGACCCTGGGCCAGTCCCGACTCGCTTACCCCTCGACACTATGTTCAGCCCCATCACTGAACAACTCCGCTACCTGCTCAGCAAGGCAGATGACTTCCAGAGCTACCTGCTGTACAGGTAACAACACGGATTCTCCCAGTGTGAAAGTCCTCGCTTGGGGTGGGGTTTTTTTGCAATATTTATTTGAAAGGCAGAGAGCGATAGAGAAAGAGGAAGAGAGACAAAGACAAAAGACAGCTGCTTCCCCTCGCCCCAGTTCACTCCCCAAATGCCCACGGGGCAGGCCGGGCTGACCCACACCAAAGCCAGGAGCCGCGAACTCCCACCCGGGCCTCCCACGCTGGGTGGCAGAAGCCCAAGGATTTGGGTCAGCTTGGGCTGTCTTCCCCGGGGCTCGTGAGCAGGGAGCTGGCTTGGAAGTGGAGCAGCGGGGACTTGAACAGGTGCTCGGAGAGGGGATGCTGGCGTGGCAGGTTCCGGGCAGCCTAACTGGCCGCACCACGGCACCAGTCGGGGGGTCCAAGACACCCCCAAAGGCTCATGCAATCCCCCCAAAAGAATAAAACAGGGGGAGGGCAGGGACTTCTCATACGTCCAGCCAGCAAGGTGTTCCCAGAGCCTAAGTCCCAGGTGCCTTCATTCCCGCACCTGTTCCAAATGGGCTTGAACCAAACAGGATCCTGAGAAGCAAAGGGGGCGTGGGGCGCCTGGGGTACAGGTGGAGCTGACTTCCGGAATGGAGGAGGGCTCTCATGTAAAGACCTCGGCCTCCCCCTCTCTCCAGCAGGGATCGCGTCCAGACGGAGCAGCTGGCCAAGGCTATGCCCACTTTCTTGCAAATGTGCGAGCCCTACTTCCTGTACCTGGAGGCCGCAGCCAGAAGCGTGCCTCCCATCCACGGAGCCCTCCAGGAACTGGTCCGGAAGGGAGTGCGTCCTAGTGCGCCCCGCCCACCCCGTTTCCTAAGCCCCTCCCCCTCGCCCCTGTCTTCTCACAGCTCCAGGTGTGGGGGCGGGGTTGCTCCTGGCAGGTGCTCCCTCACCCACCGTGCACCCCCTTCCTTGCAGCTGCTGGAAGTCTCCCAACAGCTGACCCTGCGCTTAGAACAGCTGGTCCTCATGTATGCTTCCTTTGGGTTGGTAGACATGGAGGAGACGGACCCCTTAAGGTAAGGGGCCTGGGGGGCCGGGAGAAGGAGGGGTCCCGGGGGTGGGGGCCGAGCCCAGCCTCATGCCATCTCCCGCCAGCAGTATCTCCTCTTTCTTCTGCGGGAGGTTCTCCCTCAGCCCTACCCACGAGGTGTCCATCTTCAGATACTGCGCCCCGGCTGCCTACACGGCCACCCGCTTCCCCCGGTACCTCTACAAGAAGATGCGCTGGAATCTGGAGACCACCCTGGAGCCCAGTGGCCAGGGGCAGCACAGCCGTGTGGATTAGTGAGTCCCCTCACCAAAATCGAAGTCCTCTCTCCCTCTGCTCAATGCCAATTCCAGCCTCTCCAAGCACAGAGGTGGGGCACCGAGCCACCTTTGAAATTTACCTACCCTCCCATTAAAACAAAAGTCCTCCCACCCACCCTCCCCCAAAAGGCCTTTCTCGGCATTGGGTCGCATCCCTGCCCCCTGGGGGAAGGGGGCATCTGGGTAACTCCCCTCCAAAAACAGGACAGCCTGCGCCAGCCAGGTTCAGGAGCTGGGAACCCTGACCACTTCCGGGCGGCTCTGGCTTTTCCCAGCTACTTTCTGTGCTACCGAGACACGTGGGAAGACAGCGGCAAGACCCTGGCCAACTCGTGCCCGCAGATCCAGAAGCTGTGGTCCATCGGCCGATGGGTGCCCCTGGGACCAGCCGAGGACGACTTGTATTCATGGTAGGGGCGGGGCTTGGGCGCTGGGGCGGGCAGGGGGCAGAGCCCCACCAAGGACCCCCTCCTCTCTCCCACTCTGGAAGCCACATCATCTCATCATGCCTGCACACGTGTCACACGACCCAGGGAAGGCGCCCAGAGAGGGTGATTTACCTGCCCCAGATGCACAGCTTAGCAGGGTGATTGGCAGGCCCAGAGACAAGGAAATGACTCCCCCACCCCCACCTCAGGGTCACTCCCGCCCCCAGCTCGCAACAAAGCCTCTGTCTCGGTGGAGGAGGGGGCCAGGGGAGCTCAAGTCCAGGTCTGCCTGCCCTACCCCCCACACCCCGGTCTCCCAGGATTTTGTGCCCGCAGCCGCCTGGGGACTACCAGCAGCTGCTGACCATCGGCTTCGAAGAGCCCTCGCACATGCTGGCCACCGACCTACTGGTCCAGATCCTCACGGGCCAGGCAGGCCCGGCCCGGCCCCCGAGCGCTGCGGGGCCCGCGGCTTGGGCCGCGCAGGGGTCTTGAGCCTGGGATGGGGGCGGGAGAGGGCGAGAGCCGGGGCCGGACAACTGCAAACTCCAGGAGGCGGGCTCACTGGTTCTCCTGGCGCCGCCTGGCCTCGCCTTCCCCCCGGGCCAGGCCGCGCTGACCCGCCACACGGAGTCCGGCTCGGCCGCGGGGCCCTGAGGGCGGACGCACCGGTTTTGCATTAAATAAAAGAAAGAGGTCACAGTGGCTGAGCGTCCGCTGCGAGCGCCGCGCCCCGCCCCTTGGAGGCCACACCCACTCGCGCGACCTTCTGGGAAACGTAGTATTGGGGAAGAGCAGGCGTGGGTTGAGAGCGCGGCGCATGCGTAGAGGCGCTCGTGAAGCCAAAAAGGGAAGTGGCGGCGGCGGTCGACAACCGGAACCCGGAAAGCCTCGCTTTTCGGGTCGCGGGGAAATCCGACGCCCACTGGAGGAAGCGACTGGGGGCCACGCCCACGCCCGGGTTTGTAACCCGGAAGTGGTTATCTAACCCCTAAAAGACTACATTTCCCAAGATGCTTCAGGAGCGGGCGCTTTACGATCCGTTTCCTGAAAGCACAGAAGAGTTTCTTCTGTGCTTTGGGTGCCGGAGCACGGGCGCGTGGCCCTTCTCGGCAGCATGTCAGGAGCGGGGTGGGAGGCTCCTAAGGAACCCGCGATTAAGGTTTCTGAGCGTCCCCGAACATCGGCCCTGGCCGAGATGAACTCACCTGCCCAGAGCACCCCCAAACAAGCGGGGGGCGCCAGCTGGCCCCTTGGGAAGAGGAAGGGGTCGCATAGCCTCAGTCGGCTTCCATCCACTTGTTCAATACCCACCCCGGGTGGGGAGGGAGGGTAGGGGGCTGAGCCTCCCCAAAGCCAGGGGCAGGAGCTCCAGGGGCGTCTCCCACGTGCCGGACCCCTCGTAGGGTCTGAATCTGCAGGGAGCAGAGGCGGGGCTCAGGCCCGGCAAGCCGCAGCCCCCCCGCAGGACACCCAAGCCACTGGTCACTGCTAGACTGGAGGCTGGGGCGGACTTAACCCTTTAAAGCAAGAGTCGCTTTTTTGCTCCCCCCCCCTTCAGAGACACACCCCCCCCACCCCCGAGCTGTCCCCTTAATTTTTTTAGTGGATTTATTTGCAAGAGTTAGAAGGAGAGGTCTCCCCCCCCCCCCCGCCCCGAGTTCACTCCCCCAGATGGCCAACAACGGCCACAAGGCTGGGCCAGCCTGGATCCACGTCTCCCTTGTGGGTGGGTGCAGGGCCCAAGCGCCTCACCTGCCCCAGCGCAGGGCCCGGGGCATGGATTCTTTTTAAATGCGGGAGAGGAGGGCCTTGTGGCCCAGTGGGTTGAGCCGCTGCCTGGGACACCCATATCCCTTTATGGGAGTGTGGGTTCGAGTCTTGGCTGCTCCACTTACAAGACAGCTTCCTGCGCATGCGCACCTGGGAGGCAGCTGGTGAGGGCTCAAGTACTGGGGTCCCCGGCGCCCACGAGGGAGACCTGGATGGAGCTCCCGGCTCCCGGCTCTGGCTTGGCCCAGCTCTGACTGTTACAAGCAATGAACCGGTGTATAGATCTCTCCCCATGATGCTCTGCTTTCCAAGTGAAATAAACATTTTTAAAAAAAATTCCCTTAAAGGACATCTTGTAGCTCCATTTCCCTTTAACTTTTCCAATCCTCCATCTGGGGTTTTCTGGTTGCTGCATTTTAACAGCAAGCGGTCCGATTTATTTTAGTGATGTTTTGGGTCCCACGGATCCAAATTATTTCATCGTGTGGCTCCTGTTAAAAAAAAAAAATGCATATTCCCCCTCTGGCCTGTATCTTCCACTCACAGCACGAGTCAGTGCACTGGGGACTGGGGGCCGCCCCGGAGGCGGAAGAAAAGGGTTCTGCCGATTTCCTGGGTGCTGTGGCCCAGGCAGCCTCCACACCCAGACTCCAAAACCAGCCTGCGTCAGAATCACGGGGAGAGTTGCGTCATCGCCAGGGCTGGGCTGGGACCTGTGGATGTGCATTCCTTTTGTTTGTTTGTTTAAAGATGTATTTATGTACCTGAAAGGCAGCGTGCCGGAGAGAGGAGGAGAGACACAGAGAGATTCTTCCACCTGCAGAGTTCACTCCCCAAATGGCTGCAACGGCCAGGGCTGGGCCAGGCTGAAGCCGGGAGCCAGGAACTCCATCCGGGTCTCCCACGCAGGTGCAGAGGGCCAGGCACTTGGGCCGTCTTCCACTGCTTTCCCATGCCATAGCAGGGAGCTGGATTGGAAGTGGAGCAGCCAGGACTCGAACCAGCGCCCATATGGGATGCTGGCACTGCAGGGGGCGGCTTTACCCACAACGCCACACTCCCAGCCCTCACACACTGGCAGCCCCAACTCCCTCTTTGCCTTTGTCCAGGCCTCCCATAGGTGGAGGCTTAGGCGACCGGGCCGGCTGCCTGCGACACTGGCATCCCAGTTCAAGTCCCGGCTGCTCCACTTCCCATCCAGCTCCCCGCTGATGCCCCTGGTGGAAAGCAGCAATGATGGCCCAAATGCCTGGATCCCTGCACCTCCTTCCCTCCCCCAGCACAATGCCCGATGTTATCTTTCACGCAGTCGCAATCATTAAAAGTGCAGTTGCTCTCTGGATTCCCAGGTACTTTTGAAAACCGAAAATAACCTAGTGCTGGCATCCCCCTGGCGGGTGTGGGTGCGATGGGGGGTGGGGGGGATGTGGCTCGCACCTGGTTAGTCCAAACAAACGCAGGGCAGGTGCACTTCTGTGTGAGCGCCACATTTCCCACCCGCGCCGCCAGGGGGCAGTAGGCCCCGGGTCCCAGCCTCGCAGGGTCTGGCGGGGGCAGAGACAGGCAGCCGGGGCTGGGGTGGAGAGGGTGGGGGAGACCCGGGCGATAAGAGCGCATTCCACATTCCGGCCGGCGCCTCCTGCAGCTGGCGCTGGCCGCGCCCCACCCCACCCCCAACGGCGAGGACCCAGAAGAGATTCAGGCTGCACTGCCCAGAAAGCAAGGGGGCTTTATTGAGCGGAGGAGGGATCGAAGGGGAGAGGCAGGCAGAGAAGTCAGCGGGGTCTGCGTGCTCAGGGGGCAGAGGGCTGCACGGTACCCATCCCGGCGTGGTGGGGCTTGGTGCGGGCGGCCAGGTGGCCAGAGGGTCACCTTCCCCAGCGCACCTGGCTGACCCCTCTTGCAGATCTGCGGGGCACGGCTGGACCGTCCCCAGCCAGGTCCTCCGACACCTGCGGGACTTCCGGCCAGGGGACCCAGCTCGCGTAAAACCCTCACGGTTTGCGCTCCTCCTGGGTGGGTGGAGAGAGAGCCAATGAGAGGGCAGCATCTGGACGCGGCGTGGGTGTGGGTGTGGGGTGGTGATGGTTGAGGACCCCCCTCCCTTCCCCCTCCGCCTCCCCCCCAGGAGGGGGCTGCTCCCTGCACTTTGAGCCCCAGCTCCGCCCACCGTCCTGGCTCAGGATCGAGGCAGGTGCAAGAGGGCAAGGGAGCCCCCCACCTGCTCCAAACCGTTTTCCGAGGCCTTTCTGCGGGGAGGCCAGATCACCGCCAGTTTTCCGTCGCCCCTGCTCGCTGCGGGGGTGGGTGGGCGGGGGGAAGGGCGCTCAGCCGGGGGTGCCCCCTCCTCTCACCAAGCTGGAGGCGGCCAGGACGAAAGAAGCCGGCCGCGCCCCTTAAACACATACAGGTGTCCACCTCGCCCTCCTCCTCCTCCTCCCCGTGGGGGCCTCCACCCAGTCCGGGAACCCAGGACAATGAAGGAGGCAAACGAAAGCGAGGAGAGACAGGAGTCCCACAACCACCACCCCCTACAAGTGCACAGACAGGTTACAGGTAGGACCGAAACGCAGCCCGAGTTCCGGTCCCCCCAAGCCTGGGAGATGTGGATCCAGGTGAGCGGATAAGAGCGCAGGGCAGAAAGAGAGAGCCCGAGAGGCAGGGGTGTGGAGAGGTGTGTGTGTGGGGGGGGGGTTCCAGGAGTCAGGGAGCCTGGCAGGGGGACCCCAAGCTCAGAGGGCGCTCGGGGGAGAAGGCTGGGGCTCACCGGTGAGGCTCGGCGCCGGCTCTTCGTCTTCGGCGGTGCCATAGATGCTGCGCCGTTGGCGCTGGAGCTCCAGTTCGCGAGCGCGGACCTCGCACAACTCCCGCTGCAGCAGCGACGGCGCGACAGGCGGCGGGGCGCGGGCCAGCACGGGGCCCCGGCCCTGCGCGGCCGATCGCGGCCGGCCTCCGGGCTGCGGGCCCGCGCCGCCCTCCGCCGTCGCCGCCGCCGCCTCCTCGAAGAAGCGTCTGAGCTCGCCCAGCGGCGGCGGCGGCGGCGGCTGCGGGGCGCGCGGCGGCTCCGGGGTTGCGGGGCGCGCCAGCGCCGCCTGCCGGTGAGCTTCGCGCTCGATGTCTCGCTGCATCTGCGCGCCCGCCCGCGCGCGCTCCAGGGCGCGCGGGAGCGTGGGGCCCGGGCCGGGCACGCTGAGCACCGGCCGCACGCGCAGCTCCACCAGTTCCTGGCCGGCGCGGCCCGGGCTCAGACCCCGGCTGCGGCGCAAGCTCTCCTCGCGTTCGCAACTGCGGCGGATTTCGCGTTCAATGGGCGTCTCCATGAGCGGCTGCTCCTCCTCTGGAGACCGTTGCGGGGCTTCCAGGCCCGACCCAGAGGCGGAGGTCTCGGGGCGCGGAGGTGGACACTGCCTCGACACCTCTGCCCTTCGCTCCTCGGACAGCCCGGGGTCTTCGCTGTCTGGCCCGGGACTCCCCGAACCCACAGGTGCAGGCGGCCCCGGGTGTTCTGCGTCCGACTGCGCCGCTACCCCGCGGCCTTCGCTCTCTTGCTCCGGGGTCTCCACGCCCTGCTGTGCGGAGGGCCCGGGGGCCTCGCCGCCCGGCCTGGGGTCCTCGGGGTCCCGCCCAGCCGCAGGCTCCGGGTCTTCGCTGTCTGGCCCGGGGGCCTCTTGGCCCTGCGCGTCAGACGACCCCAGGGCTCCGCCCCCCGGCCCGGAGGCCTCGATGTCCAGTGTTGGGGGCAGCTTGGAAGCCTCAGTTTCTAGCGCCGCGGGGGTAGGGCGTGGGGGGGTTAATGCCTGGAGCTAGGGACGCCGCACCTGTGGCTGCGGTCGCCACCCTCGGTTCCAAGGCGTCGCCTGCACCGGCCGCTTCTCTGACCCGCCTCTGGCCTCTAAGGACGGCCCCCGCGCGGGGGGCAGGGCTGGGCACCGCCCCCCGGCACCTGCAGGGAGCACTCAGGCCACGCCCTCGTGGGGGCGGGGGCGGCCTCTGTGGGTCCCCGGATTTCGGGCAGGGCTCAGCCGGGTCACCTCAGGACAGGACCTCTGTGGGCCTGGCCAGGGCCACCTGGCGGGCAGCGAGGCCCCCGGCCTCCGGGGCCCTCCCTCCACCTGCCACCCTCGCAGCGCCCAGCTGCGGCCCGAGGGGGCGCCAGGAGCCGCCTGGCACGCTTCGCGCCCCCGGGCCTGGCCTTGCCGGCGCCTGCGGGGACCCAGCCGGGCTTCCCCTCCTGCTGCCAGGGACGCAGGCAGCAGCGTGGTTGCGGTATCCAGGAGGTCACTTCGAGCCCAGGCGGGCCGGGAAGGCCCAGAGCGGGGACGAGGGGGCTGTGACGCCAGCCAGACACCTCCTGGGGGCATTTTACCCCCAGGCCCCCCCCACCCTTCTGAGATGACCCGGAAGAAGTATGGGGTGACCTAGAGAAAGTGGCAAGGAGAGCAGCTACAGAGGTTCCCAAACCCCCAGCAACCCTGAGTTGCCCTGTTACCGCCCCCTCTCGCTCTACCTGCTCCAGAACCCCAGCTTCCGCCGTCTGACCCCAAGGGCCACATGGGAACCTCTGCCTGCAACTCGTAACCTGAGCAAGGACTGACCCTTCTTCAAGTCTCAGCTTGCTTTCCTGTGAAATGGGTATAAATCTGCCTCACACGGGGGGGGGGTGCTGGGAGTGGAATCTCCACAGGGGAGCAGGCTTGGTGGCCCAGCCCCGCGGGTTAAGCTGCCACTGAGGACATTGGCATCGCATATCAGAGGGCCTGGGTTCCGCTTCTGGTCCAGCTCCCTGCTATGGCACCTGGGAAAGCAGCGGAAGATGGCCCAAGTGCTTGGGCCCTGGCCACCCACGTGGGAGACCCGGATGGAGCTCCTGGCTCCTGGCTTTGGATCAGTGCAGCTCCAGCCATTGCGGCCATCTGGGGAGGGAACCAACGGATGGAAGATATCTCTCTCTCTCTCTCTCTCTCTCTCTCTCTCCCTTGCAAATAAATAAATCTGACATTGGAGTGGACTGGGTTCTGTTTCCGGCTCCAGCTTCCTGTTCATGGGCACCGTGGGAAAGCAGCAGGTGCCGGCTCAAGTGCTTGGGTCCCTGCCACTCATAGGGGAGACCCGGATGGAGCTCCCACATCCTGGATTCGGCCTGGCCCAGCCCTGGCTGTTGCAAGCATTTCAGGAGTGACCCAGTGGGTGGGAGATTTCTCTTGTCTCTGTCCTCTGGTTCACTCCCCAGATGGCCACAAGGGCCAGGAGCCAGCAACTCCATCCTGGTCTCCCACGTGGGTGGCAGGGGCCCAAGCCCTTGGGCTGTCACCTGCTGCTCCCAGGTGCACTAGCAGGGAGCTGGATGGGAAGTGGAGCAGCAGGAACTCAAATTCTCTCTCGGGTATGGATGCTGGCACTGCAGGCAGCGGCTTTACCTGCTACGCCACAGTGCCTACCCCAGGTATAGGGTTTAATAGCTGGGCACCTCCCCTTGGCCCTGGGGTGGGGGTGGGGGAGTGTCCTCTCAGGCTTGGGACCCCTGGCAGGCAAGGGCCCTTCTCAGCAGATCAAGGTCAGAATTGCACAGTGTGACTGGGGCTGAGACCAGCAAAGCACGGAGCCCTAGAGGGGGCCTTGCCCCAACATGTAGAATGAGAGATCTTTTGTTTTAAAAGGTCTATTAGGCCGGCGCCACGGCTCACTAGGCTAATCCTCCACCTAGCGGCGCCGGCACACCAGGTTCTAGTCCCGGTTGGGGCGCCGGATTCTGTCCTGGTTGCCCCTCTTCCAGGCCAGCTCTCTGCTGTGGCCCGGGAGTGCAGTGGAGGATGGCCCAAGTGCTTGGGCCCTGCACCCCATGGGAGACCAGGATAAGCACCTGGCTCCTGGCTTCGGATCAGCCGGCCGTAGCGCACCAGCCGTGGCGGCCATTGGAGAGTGAACCAACGGCAAAAGGAAGACCTTTCTCTCTGTCTCTCTCTCTCACTGTCCACTCTGCCTGTCAAAAAAAAAAAAAAAAAAAAAAAAAAAAAAAAAAGGTCTATTTATCTATTTATTTGACAGGCAGAAAGATAGAGACAGGGAGAGACAGAGACAAAGACAGAGATCTCCCATCGGCTGGTTCACTCCCCAAATGCCCACACAGCCAGAGCTTGGGCCGGGAGCCTGGAACTCCATCCGGGTCTCCCACGTGGGTAGCGGGCACCCAAGCACTTGGACCATCTTCCACTGCTTTCCCAGGCAGCATTAGCAGGGAGCTGGATCGGAAGTGGAGCAGCCGGGACTAGAACCAGTGCTTGCATACGGGGTGTGCATGCCCCAAGTGGCAGCTCCACCAGCTGCTCCTCTGGGCAGTCTGCTGGGAAAGACGCTGCTGGCCCTTTAAGAACAGGTGTAGGGAGGCCCCAAATCCCATCTCCGAGCACCTGCCCTGGAGTCCCCCTCTGGCTCCCAATCCAAGCTTCCTATAGGCACACACCCTTGGAGGCAGCAGAGATGGCCCAAGGACTTGGGTCCCTGCTACCCATGTGGAAGACCCGGATGAAACTCCTGGCTCCTGGCCTTGATCTGGCCCACCCCCACCCCCACCCGCCATTCACTGTTGCAGCTATCTGGGGGTGAACACACAGCAGATGTGTGTGTCTCTCCCTCTCTGTAACCTTGCCTTCCAAATAAATAAGATAAATACACCATCAAATGAATTTTTTTAATGACTGGGTTTTATTTATTTATTTTACTTCTGTGTAGTATTCAATAGAGTACATAGCCCATAATTTCTTTTCTTTTTTTTTTAAAGATTTATTTTATTTATTTGAAAGACAGTTACAGAGAAAAGTAGAGACAGAGAGCAGCTGGGTCTCGAACCGGTGCCCATATGGGATGCCGGTGCTCCAGGCCAGGGTGTTAACCCGCTGCGCCACAGCGCCAGCCCCCATCAAATGAATTTTCAAAAACTATAAAAAAAAAAAAAGAAAAGAAAATTGTAAGAAAAAAAAAAGAACAAGACAGCGCTGTCGACTGGGGCCATCTAGATTTGGGTGGGAAGTTTTCTAGATCATTCTGTCCCCACCCCTAACTGTGATAGCATTTCAAGGGGTACCTGGAATCCCAGAGGTCACAGGGATCGGATTCTCCCATTTCACAGACGGGAGAATTGAGACCCAGACGCCCAGTTTCCCAGGGCCCACGCCTCCTCCGCCTCCTGGTTTCCATGGTGACGATGTTTCTGGGGATCAGAGGTCTCTGGCTCTGCAACACCAGCTTGCCAGGGTGCCCCTGCACCCCCACCCCCACCAAGGTGACCCTGGAGGGGCGGAGAGCAGCCCCATGCCCCTGTTTGCCAGGAGGCAGCGGAGTGAGGCAGCGAGAGGCCAGAGGCTAGTAAATAATTTATCAGGACAGCTGATAGTGCCTCCCAGAACTGCCCGCCAGCCCCCAGCCCCCCCTCGCCACCGGCACCGCCACCGCCACCGCCGCCACCACCACCGCCACCGCGTGCCTCCCACCTCCTCCTAGCCCAAACCAGCTAGACCAGCTCTCCCAGTGCCAGACAGCAGCCCCCCCAGGTCCCGCTCGCTAAGCCCTGGCTGCCCCCCGGGCACCTTGCAGCCCAGCAGGTGGAGGGCACTGAACTTGGAGAGACCCCCAAGTGGGGTTCTGGGCAGAGATGGCCCTACAGAGCCAGCTGTGGTCTCTGGCCACACTCATGTAAGTGTCTTGGGGTTGTGGGGTGGGGGAGCCGGTGGGCAGAACCTGGGAGGGGCTCACGGCTGGACAGCTGGACGAAGGCCTTGCCTGGGAACCAACAGTGATAGCTAACTTGTCTGCAGCAGCCAGGGGAAGTGGAGTGGGTGGCAGCCAGCCAGTCCCATAGGGTCCTCCGTGTTCCTCTTTCCCCAGAGAGCTGGGGAGGGAGATGTCGCCTGCTCCTGCCCCATGCTTTGGGCATTTTCCGTTGACCAGTGGCTGGGAGCCCAAAGTCCAGCTGAGGAGGTGGGGGGTGGGGCTACTAGGAGGCAAGGGGAGGGGTGGAGAATTGCTGGGGAATGGTCCCTGGGTCCCTCTCAGCCTCTGGACTCACCCCTTAAGCGTCCAGGGTTGGGGGCCGGCGCCTGAGGTCACACAGCACCCCTGTGACCCGCTTGGGGACATGGCCGCCTGCTGCTCCCTGTGACACCGATGCCGGTCTCATAGTTAACATCGAGAGGTGCCATCCACATGCCAAGTGCAAAGGCACTGGACGCCAAGCCTAGACACTTTCCAGAAATTTGCCAAGAGCTCTGCACAAGAGCTTCCCCACCCCCAGACCCAAAATTAGGGACCCCCCAACTCTGTTCCTCACCTTTCTGGGTCTCCCCCCCACACCCCTTGCATTAGTCACCGACTACAAACCTGGTTGCCTAGCAACGGGAACCCAATCCCCACCCCACCCCCGCCCCCACCTGCAGCAAGAGGCCCGCCCCGGGGAGATTCCATCTTGGGGGTGAGACAGTACCCTGGGAGGACCCTCAGCCCCTCCCCCGGGGGCAAACTTATAAACAGGGAGTCTGAGCTTTCTTTGGGATAGTCCATAAACCAGGACTTCCGTCCCCCGGCCCTAACTGAAATCCAGGATTCTGGCTGATCTCCAGGCTGCAAATTCTGGGGTCCAAGGAGGGGTTCCAGACTCTCCCCCCTCCCTGACACCCAGTTGCTTGTTCCCCGCGTCTGAGGTCTCACAGCCTCAGGCTCTGATCTTGAGCCCAAGACCATGGACAAGCAGGAGCCTCCGCTTCCCCATCTGTGAAATGGGATCAGCAGTGCCAGCCTCCCTCCCTGCTCCGTCACAGGGAGCTCCACCACCTAAAACCTGGAAGAGAGCCGAGTGCCCGCTGGTGGAAGGCGCCAGCGGGCAGGCGGTTGGCGGAGTTGAACACAGTAGCGGGCAGGCGAGGCGGCTGTGGGCGCCTGGCGGAAGCCCCAGGAGGCACTCACAGCCCTATAGATAGCAGGTGCATTACGCATTCGTGGTGTGGCCAGGGAAAGGTCTGGAGGTCCCGGCCGGAGATGTGGCCGTGACGTTGGGAGGCTCACCCAACGGATTAGGGTTCCTGCGAATCAAAAAGGACCCGTGGCAGGCTGTCAGGGATGACAGTCGGGGTGTGGTCTACCTGGTGAGTTAGGGAGCCTTTGTCCTCCAAGGGGCAGCCAGGAAGGGGGACCCCAGAAATCGGGGATGCTGGGGTGCAGCGGGGAGGGGGGATCGCAGATTAAAGACTAAAGGCTCCGGGTCAAGAGAGAGGCGGCCCGCGTTCGAGGGGCTCCGGGGAAGCCCCCACCGCAGCCCCCCACCCCCGCGCCCTCTCCCCATAGGCCCATGGCCGAGAGCTCCCTCTATCGGCAGCGGCTGGAGGTCATCGCCGTAAGTGACGCCCTCGGGGCGCTCGGCCCCGCCCCCTGGGACCCCCACAACGGCCCAGCCCCGCCCCACGTCCCCCTCAATCCCTGGGCTCTCGGCTCCGGCCCTGCCCCGGGCGCGCCCCCACTTCCTCTCTCGCTTCACCGCCACCCGCAGAATGCAGGGGGCTGCACACCTGGCCCTCCCGGAACCTGCGGCCCCCGAGGTGCGAGCCCCGGCCTTGGGGATCGTCCACATCTCGGGCTCGCCCTCGCTTTACAGGGCCCCTCACCCCGATGACTTGGACCCCAGCTGGGCACCTCCATTTCTGCACCCCACTTTCTACCCCATCTCTACGCATCCACACCTCTGCACCCCCTCGTCTCGGCCCCTCCCATCTCTTTGGACTCTACCTCTGTACCCCCGTCTTTCTGGATCCCTGCGGCAGTACCCCCATTCAGACCCCCCGCCCCGCTCCTCTATCTCGCTAGCACCACCTCTGAACCCGCTCTCTCTTGGAATCCCCCCATCTCGGACCCGCCCAGGCCCCACCCACCACCCCCAGACCCCCTATTGGGCGCGGGCGAGGCCTCCGCAGCACCCCGGCCCCGCCCCCGCTCCGCCCCCCACCCCGCACGCTGCTGAGTCAGCGCCTCCGCAGCACCCGCCCCCCTCCCCGCGCAGGGCCGCCCTCCGGGCTTGCAGCCCCTGGGAGCCCCGGGAGCCTCCGCCGCGGCGCAGGGAGGGGTGGGGGAGGGGAGGCCCGTCCCGGCCCCGCCCCGCCCCGCCCGGCCCGGCCCCAGCTCCCCGCCGTCTGTGCGCAGGAGAAACGGCGCCTGCAGGAGGAGATCCGGGCTGCGCGCCGCGAGCTGGAAGAAGAAAAACTCCGCGTGGAGCGGCTCAAGGTTGGGGGCAGCTGGGGGGGCATTGCCGGGCCTGGCCTGGCCTGGGTAGGGGGCTGTGGTGGAGGGGAGGGTCTGCGCCAGCCGCTTGGGGGTCTGCTTTGTCCAAGGTGCTGGCAGGGCTGGCACTGGCAATTGGGGGGCGTTGGTCTCAGCTCCGGGCGGGTGGAGTCTCTCCCAGCTTGGAGGTCGGTCTTGGCGGTGGGGCGGTGGGGTCAAGGGGGCTTTTGTCATTGGTTCCACCTTGGGAAGAGGATGGGATCGGGGAAGTAGGTGGGGAGACAGAGCCTTGGTCCCGCTTTGGGACAGGGAGGGGCCGGAATGGGAGGGCAGGCACGGTGATGTCATCTTTGGGAGTGTCCGGCCTTGGGGACCAGAGGGTGCCTGGCCTCAGCGGGGTGAAGATTGGGTGCGTGACGGGGGCGGGGTGGGGGGAGCGGAAGGGGCTGTGGGCTGGTGATGGAGGGTCCTGTCCAGTTCCACCTGGCAGTGCTAGAGGACAATGTGGGTGTGTGACCCAACCCCAGTGTAGACCTGGGGGGGGGGATTCCGGTGCCTTAGCCTGGGGGTGGGGTGGGGGTCCCGGGGTCTGGGTGCCCAGCCTGGCTCCCTTCCCATGCCCAGAGACAGTCTCTCCGTAACCACTGGCTTATGGATGGCGCCCCTGCCGAAGGGCCCGAGGACCCCGCCTCCCAGGACCCCCAGTCGCCAGCGGGCCAGGCTCAGGCCCGCATCCAGACCCTGGAAGACAGCTTGTTCACGTGAGTGGGGGCCTGCCCTGATCCCGCGGCTGGGCTCCTGGCCACCTGCTCCCTGGGGAGGAGACCGGGGCGGGGGTGGGGTGGGGTGGGGTGGGGTGGGTGTGACCTGGAAAGCAGGAACCCGGCTCCCAAAAGCCCCTTCTGTCTCCAGACTCCAGTCGGAGCTGCAGCTGCTGCAAAGTGCGTCCACCGGTGCTCAGCACAAGCCCTCAGGCAGGCCCACCTGGCGCCGGCAGGTGAGGGGGCGTGGGCATGGGCGTGGCCAGCAGGGCCACAGGGGGCATATGAGCAAAGTGGACTGCTGTGTTAGCTCAGGAATGCACCTTTTTTTTTTTTTTTAAGATTTTGTTTATTGGAAATATATATATAGAGAGAGAGAGGTCTTCCATCTGCTGGTTCTCTCCTCAAATGGCCCCAATGGTTGGGAGTGGACTCAACCAGGCTGAAGCCAGGAGCCCCACCCACATCTCCCTCGCCCTGGGGCCATCTTCTACTACTTTCCCAGGCCATAGCAGAGAGCTGGATGAGAAGTGGAGCAGCCGGAACTTGAACCGGCGCCCATGTGGGAAGCCTGTGGTACAGCTGGCGACTTAACCCTCTGCGCCACGTCGGCCCTGTTTTTTTTTGTTTTGTTTTGTTTTGTTTTTTGTTTGTTTTGGTAGCACCTCTATGAAGACAAAATCCCCATGCCCTGTGATGTCTGGGCTTTGCAAAAACGCCCTCACCCGACGTCCAAAGCTGGCTCTCTGGAGTCCAAGCATCCCACATTCACACCTGGCTGCGGTGAGGAGCGAGTGTTGCCCAAACCCCACCTCTCTCCAGTTAGCTCTCCTTAGCGTCCAAGAGCCTGCTGGGTAACACCGAGGGCGCAGAGACCTTGCCGGGGTCTCCATGCATCCTGGGTGTTTTACGCTAGAGCTATGCAAGGTATGGGTCAAGGTGAAGTTCACCAGGGGATGGGGTGTTAAGGGTTTGCGAGGGGGTTTTGGGGGAGCTGGGGCATCCTGGGAAGACTTCCTGGAGGCAGGGGGCATATAAGCTGAATCTGAGTGGGAACTAGGCGAGAGGAAAGAGCCAGTTCCAAGACCCAGAGCCTGCTGAATGAGGGGGAACCATGACATCCCGTGTGGGGGTGTGTGGGCAAGGCAGCCTGCATGGCTGACCCCAGCTCCCTTCCCTGAGCCCATCTTCTTCTTGCTCGTTCTTTCCCGCCATTCCAGCCACGATGACCCTCTTCTGTACGCCTTGAACTTAGCCTAGCTCACTGCAGGCAGCCCCAGGACCTTTGCACTTGCTGTTTGCCCCACCTCTTAAGTCCTGGCTGGCTCTTCTGTGCCATCTCCTCCAGGAAGCCTTCCTGTATCTTATCTCTAAAGGAGGTACACGGGGCATGCATCTTTACTAAGACACCGGCATCCCATATGGCAAGGCTCAAGTCCCAGCGCCGCTTCTGATTTCAGCTTTCTGCAAATGTGCACCCTGGGAGGCCACAGGTGCTGGCTCAAGTCCTTAGACCCCTGCCAGCCATGTGGGAGACCTGGGTGGAGTTCCAGGCTCCTGGCTTTGGCCAGACCCAGCCCTGGGTGTTGTGGACATTTGGGGAGTGACCCAGCAGATGGAAGACTCTCTCTCTGTCTCCCTGCCTTTCAAATATATAAAAAATAAGTCAATACACTGAGCTCCAGGCCACCCAGCCCCTTCCCTCTGTGGTGGTTCCTCTCCCCTACTCGCTCCTGTGAGTGTGCATGAACGTGTGGGTGCTTTGCCCTTCCGCTCTGGGATATGGGTTCTGGCAGCAAAAGGCTCAGGCTCCCTTGTCCACTGTGAGCTCAGTGGCTGCTGCACGAACTCAGCACTGCTTAAGCACCTACTGTGTGCAAGGTGAGCTCAGGCGGGTGAGGAGAGGGCTGAGGTGCCAGAGAGACTTTGAGCCTTGCAGGCCATGGGGCACCATGGTCGGGGGGGGGGTGATACAGGGCACCAGGGCGAGCCTGATTGTGGCTCTGTCATCCACACAGGATCACCGACCTCTCTCCCAGCCCCCCATGGACACAGGCCTTGCAGGTGAGCGTCGGAAGCCCCAGAGCCGGTGGGCCAGGTGAGGCTGGGGTCCTTGGGGTCCCTCCTCACCCCATCTCCTCCCTCTCTCTTCCTCTCCTGAATCCCCCAGGCCAAGCTGTCATGGACAGGAGAGCTTCGCTGCCCGGGGGACCCCTGGCCGTGTCCCCAGACGCTCCGGCCTCCTCGGAGCCCAGGGAGGATGCTGCCGGGGTCCCGGAAGCCAACGGCCCCTGCCGGAGCCCCAGCCTGGAGGCACCTGCCAAGGGCGCTGGAGTTGAGCCCAATGGGGAAGGTGTGGTGAGGGTGGTGTGGGAGGGGCTGAGGGCCACGGAGGACAGCGCCACGGGGCCCACGGGCCCAGAGCTGGAGGCGAAGGTCGAGCAGGTGGTGCTGGAAGCCATGGCCGACCGGCCGGGGCCCTGCAGCCCGGAGCTGCCGGCCTGGGCGAGGGCGGACGTGGGCGCGGTGGAGGTGGTGTGGGAGGGCGTGGGCGGCAGCGACCCCGAGGCCTCCCCGCGGCTCCAGGAAGGGGTGGAGGGGGCAGGGGCCCCCAGGGGCGGCGGCGCAGAGGGTGAGGGGCACCGGGGCTCCGCGGGCGAGGAGGTCTCCTTCATCTGGGTGGAGCGAGGAACGCTGAGCGAGGAGTGGGAGGAGCTGCTGGTCGAGGGGCTGGAGGGTCCCGCGGGCGCAGGCGCCCACAGGGAAGGCGGGGAAGACCCCTGGGCGGAGGAGCGGCGGCGTGCGGAGCGGGAAGGCAGCCGGGACAGGCCGGGGACCGAGGGGACCCCAGCGGAGGGGCTGCTGGAGCTGAGCAGGCCAGGAAGCGGGGAGCAGCTGCAGGGGGCGGAGACTGAGGGAGGGGAGGAGCCTCCGGGGGCGGGGACAGGAGGGGAGGAACCTCGGGGGGCCGGGATAGGAGGAGGGGAGGAGCTGCTGGGGGTGGGGATAGAAAGAGGGGAGGAGCCTCAAGGGGTGGGGACAGGAGAAGAGGCGCCTCCAAGGGTGGGGGTAGGAGGGGAGGAGCCTCTGGGGGCGGGGATAGAAAGAGAGGAGGAGCCTCTGGGCGCGGGGACAGGAGGGGAGGAGCCTCCAGGGGCGGGGAAAGGAGAGGAGGAGCCTCTGAGGGTGGGGATAGGAGCAGGGGAGGAGCCTCTGGGGGCTGAGATAGAGGGAGGGGAGGAGCCTCCAGGGGTGGAGACAGGAGAGGAGGAGCCTCTGGGGGTGGGGATTGAAGGAGGGGAGGAGCCGCTGGGGGAGGGGACAGAAGTAAGGGAGGAGCCTCTGGGGGCGGGGACAGAAAGAGGGGAGGAGCCACTGAGGGAGGGGATAGGAGGGGAGGAGCCAGTGGGGACAGGAACAGAAGCAAGGGAGGAGCCACTGGGGGCAGGGACAGGAGGGGAGGAGCCAATGAGGGAGGGGATAGGAGGGGAGGAGCCGGTGGGGGCAGGGACAGAATCAAGGGAGGAGCCGGTGGGGGCGGGGACAGAAGGAGGGGAGGAGCCACTGGGGGTGGGGACAGAAGGGGAGGAGTCATTGGGGGAAGGGAGGAGTGGAGGGGAGAAGATCCAAGGGTCCGAGGTGGATCTGAATCCTGAGCAGAGAGGTGCCAGGGCAGGAAGCGAAGCCCAGGCAGAGGAGGTGAGAGAGGCCGGGGCCCCCCTCCAGGGTGAGGAGGAGCCAGGCCAGCAGCCCCAGGAGAGGCAGGAGAGCTCCCTGGAGGAAGAGGAGGCCGCCAAGCCGCTGCCAAGCGCTGCTGAGGGCCCGGGCTCTGCGGAGGACCCCACGGCCCTCTTGACAGAGACCCCAGCCCCCGAGCAGCCTGCTGAGCGCCAGCCACTGCTTCCCCGGGAAGGGCCCAGCGCCCGCCCTGTGCCCACCTACGCACCTGCCAGGCAGCCCGAGGCACCTGCCCGCCGCGAGGGTGAGGGAGCGAGCGGCCCGAAGCAGAAGACTTGCCAGTGCTGCTCCGTGATGTGAGCCCACGCCCCTGCACCCGCGCCAGCTCCTCTCACAGCTACCTCGGCCTCTTGGCATCCGGCAGAGGGGCCCCGGGCGCGGACAAGGGCGCCACGGGACGGGCCTGCACGTCCACCCACACCTGGGCTTCCAGACCCCTTGCCCACTGCCTGTGACCCTGGTCCCGTCTGTGACGAAACCGTTATACTTGAAAACCTTCCAGCGCTTGGGGGAACTTGAACGTGTGTGCTGTGTTGGCATGGAACCACCTCGTCTCCTGGTGCGACCCGGAGGGCTCTGCTCTTCTGAATCAGTGAGCTACAGAATGAGCTGTTCCAACAAAAGACCCTGGGCGACAGTAGCTATAAAAATATAGACGTTTATTTCCTTGGCTTGACCCACATGATCACTCAGAGCCAGGCTGTGACCTGGGCAGTGACTGGGGGATCCAGGTTCTGATCCAGGTGGTCTCTGGGGGATCCAGGCTCTGACCTGGGTGGTCTCTGGGGGATCCGGGCTCTGACCCAGGTGGTCTCTGGGGGATCCAGGCTCTGACCTGGGTGGTCTCTGGGGGATGCAGGCTCTAACCCACACAGTCTCTGGGGGATTCAGGCTCTGACCCGGGTGGTCTTTGGGGGATCCAGGCTCTGACCTGGGTGGTCTCTGGGGGATCCGGGCTCTGACCCAGGTGGTCTCTGGGGGATCCAGGCTCTGACCTGGGTGGTCTCTGGGGGATCCAGGAGCTGACCCAGGTGGTCTCTGGGGGATCCAGGCTGACACATTCAGTCTCTGGGGGATCCGGGCTCTGACCCAGGTGGTCTCTGGGGGATCCAGGCTGACACATTCAGTCTCTGGGGGATCCAGGCTCTGACCCGGGTGGTCTCTGGGGGATCCAGGCTCTGACCCAGGTCTCTGGGGGATTCAGGCTCTGACCCGGGTGGTTTCTGAGGGATCCAGGAGCTGACCCAGGTGGTCTCTGGGGCATCCAGGCTCTGGCTCAGGAGGTCTCTGAGGGATCCAGGCTCTGACCCGGGTGGTCTCTGGGGGATCCATGCTCTGACCTGGTGGTCTCTGGGGGATCCAGGCTCTGACCTGGGCAGTCTCTGGGGGATCCAGGCTCCAACCCACACAGTCTCTGGGGGATTCAGGCTGACACATTCAGTCTCTGGGGGATCTGGGCTCTGACCCGGGTGGTCTCTGGGGGATCCAGGCTCTGACCCAAGAGGTCTCTGGGGGATCCAGGCTCTGACCCGGGCAGTCTCTGGGGGATCCAGGCTCTGACCCCTGCCATCACTCTGGGATCTAGGTTCCTTTCTGTTTTTCGCCCCACCCTCCCCTTGGGTAAGGCCAAGGCTAGGTCATGGGCATGTGTGTGTCCCAGCTCCCGCAAGAGGGCAGAGCACATGGCAGAGCCCCCACCCTGCCCCTCGAGACTGACCGTATGGCTTCTGCCCCTGACCCACAGTTGTTGGGAACTCCGGCTGTGGTGCACCCAGCAGCAAGGGAGGCGGGGCCTGAGTCCAGACGCAGAGAGATGGTGGATTTGGGGAGGCAGCTGCCATTCTGGACTCCATCCATTTGCCTGTGTCTCCTTCACCCACCCTTACATATTTTCCCCCAGCATCCCAGGCACTGTCACGTTGGGACCCGTTGGTCCCAGCTCCTCCTGGCTGTGTGTCCTCAGGCAAGTAACTCACCTTCTCTGAGCCACAGTGTGTTCACTGCAGGTCCCTGCAGCCCGGGGCATCTAGGGCCCCAGGGTGGGGGACGCTCAGCAGGCCCAGCTCCTCAGGAGTGGGCAGGAAGTGCCTCTCATACCCACAGTCCAGGGGGGCCGCAGCGGCTTGGGGGGGCTCAGGGGCCGGCGGCGGCTGCATCTCCTCCACTTCCAGGATGGCCAAGTCCCCAGGGGGCTGCACCGGAGGCACCTCCTGGGACGGGATGTGGCTGGAACCCTGCTTCCCCCACCGCACCCCCAGCCCCAGGATCGACCCTCCCCCCACCATGGGCTCCCACAAACCAAGTCCTTTTGCTCACCTCTGTGGGGGGCTGGCCGGACTGACTGTTGGCAGGGTCTGGAACCTTCTCCCACAGCCAGCGGGGCAGCACTTTGTATCGCAGGTGGAGGCACCTGGCGTGCAGGTGCAATGCGGTCAGGGCAGGGCTGCGGGGGGCAGGGCCCCCGAATGGCCCTGTAATCCTACCAAGAAGCGCAGCCCCGCCCCCCACCAGGGCAGAGACCCCACGCGTCCGACAGCCTCACCTGCCCGACAAGGTGAGGGCCAGGCCACAGCCCACGAAGAACAAGCCCCAAAGGGACAGGACACCGGGCAGCACTTTCCACCCCAGGCTGTTATCTGTTGGGGCAGGGGTGAGGGAGAGAGAGCATGGAAGAGTCCCCAGCAGGGACAATGGGGGGGGGTCAGGAAGGGCTCCAAGAACTTGGGAGAGAGACGCTAAGAAGTAGGTGGGGCTTGTGAATGGGGAGTGGCTACGAGGGGGCTGAAATTTGGGGGTGGGGGCGGGGTGCATGGGTAGGTCAAAGTCAGAATCAAAAAGCCACCAAGGATCCTCAATAACCTTGCCCCACCCAACAACAAGTGTTTTCCACCCTCCAAAGCCCAGGTTTACGACCCCAGACACCGCCTCCCTCCAGCCCCGCTACCTGGCAGGTGAAGCCACAGGCTGGGACCAGGTGGACCCTGCCCCGCCGTGGTGGACGCAGTCACCCACAGCTCGCAGGGACCCCGGGGAAGGTCGGGCAGGGTGATGTTCCAGATGCTGCCATTCACTGGAGGAGACAACCAGACAGGTGAGGGGAAGAGGTGTGTCCTACCCCAGGGCCTTTGCACATGCTCCTTTCACGGTCCTCCTGCCCCAGGCATCCATAGAGCTCCTTCTTGGTGTCTTTCAGGCGTTTGCTCAGCTGTCCCCTCCTCAGGGAGGCCGTCTCCGACCTCCCGGCACCACCCACCTTCCTTGGTTCATTCTCTGCTCAGCGCCCATTGCCTCAGACATTCTGCTGAGATATTACCTACTTTGTCTATAAGTCCCGTGGGAGGAAGGCAGCGGCACCACGGCCGTCCTACTCCCAGCAGAGTACGCACTCAAAAGCAATTAAGTGTTTGGGAAACTAAAACAGTGAAAGGCGAGGCTGGCGCTAAAGCCTCTGGCATCCCATATGGGCGCCAGTTCGAGTCCCGGCTGCTCCACTTTCAGTCCAGCTCCCTGCTGATGCACCTGGGAAAGCAGTGGAAGATGGCCCAAGCCCTTGGGACCCTGCACCCACGTGGGAGACCCGGAAGAAGCTCCTGACCCTGATTTTGGCCTGGCCCAGCCCTGACTGTGATGGCCATTTAGGGAGTGAACCAGCAGACGGAAGATCTTTCTCTGTCTGGGTCTCTCCCTCCCTCTCTGTAACTCTGCCTCTCAAATAATAAATACATAAATCTTTCAAATGAATAAGTAAGATAAAATGCGACAGGCACCTTCCATTGCCAATGACCATAGACCAAAGCCGTCCTTTGCAACGGTTGCACAAGGAGTCCTTGCAGCCAGAGGGCTGGGAGACCGATAACGTCATACACTCCCCAGGGGCCCAGAGGGTGCCGGGTGGGCGCTGGTGGGCGGATCTCGAGGCGCGAGGAGGGGGGAGCTCACCGTTCACACAGACCGAGGGTCGGCCTCCACTCCGGGCACACACGGTGTAGTGAGTGAGATGGCCTCGGAGCTGGTGCCTGGGGACCACCGCCCAAGCTACGGCGGGGGTCCCCGGGGGGTCATCCCGGAGTCGCCAAAGCGCCGGCCCTATGACAGGTGCTGGGGAGGAAGCCGGCCAGTGGGGTCAAGGAGTGCCCAGGGTTCCGGGACCCTTCCCCTCTCCCCACCCCCACCCCCACCTTACCTAGCTCCTGGGTGAACCCCCACACCGGCGGAGCAGGGGCCACGCCCCCAGGCGAGACTGCGGTCACCGTGATCCGATAGGGGACCCCTTCTGTGAAGTTCCCTGGCCGGGGGGTAAGGAGGCAAAGACCGGTTCCACTCGGTTCTCGATTCGTGCCGGTTTGAGTCCCGGCTGCTGCACTTCCCAACATTCACCACGTGGGGCGCCATCCCGGCTCCGGCTCCTGCCTCCTGCGCATGCGCACCTTGGGAGGCCGCAGTGACCGCTCAAGACTTGGGTCCCTGCCACCCACGTGGGAGACCTGGATGGCGCTCCAAGCTCCTGGCTTCTGCCTGGCACAGCCCTGGCTGTTGCAGGAAATTGGGGAGAGACCCAGCAGGTGGAAGACCTCTCCATCTCTCTCTCCCAATGCTCTTTCAAATAAATTTTTTAAAATCTTAAAAGATAAAATAAGCAATTAATTAAAAATAAGTAAATTATTTTAAAGATTTATTAATTTATTTGAAAGGCAGAGTTACAGAGAGGGAAAGACAGAGGCAGAGACCTTCCACCTGCTGGTCCACTCCCCAAATGGCTTCAACAACCAGCCAGTGCTGAGCCAGGCCGAAGCCAGGAACCAGGAGCTCCATCCGGGTCTCCCATGTGGGTGGCAGGGGCCCAAGCACTTGGGCCATCTTCTACTGCTTTCCCAGGAGCCGGATTGGAAGTGGAGCAGCAGGACTCGAACCGGCGCCCATGTGGGATGCCGGCGCTGCACCCCAGTGCAGGCCCAAGAGCACTTTTTAAACTAAAAAATTGTGGCTCGGTGCTCGTCGTGACCTCTAGGTGGCAGCAGAGAGCACACAGGCCTCCATGGAGGAGGCGCTGAGGCTAGGGCGGTTAATTCCCCATCAGGTGCAGCCAATGCCTCAGTAGCCACCCAGCGCCCTCTAGCGGGGAAATGCATGGTGCAGGCAGCCGGGAGCAGTGGTCAAGTCCAGACATACCAGAGGGGCCACCCACGGCCGACCCCGGCAGGGGGAGCTCCTGAGTTCTCCTTTCAACACCGGCTACTTCCCTCCTCCCTCAAAATGAGGAATCTTCCAGAATTGGGGCTTCTCGTGTGCATACAGGCTGCTGCATGCCTTGGGGCTCTGACTGAAACTTCCCACCTGACACCTCATCAGGCCCCCCAGACTCCTCAGTCCAGACCTCAACACTGGCGCCCAGGTCTAATTATCCTGCAGTCCCACAGGCGACCCCAGTTGGAGGACCACAGATGCATCTCCCGGATGCAACACCTCCCAATGGGTCCCCCCCAGTTCTGCTCCAGGACCTTGGTCTAAGTAACCCCCTCCCCTAACCCTCCCCCAGCCCTCAGGGTCTTTTCCTTCCACGACTACTCAGAGCCGCCAGCAGGGGGCGCTTGTGAACACCGGGGGGCAGTGCCAGTCCCTCTGTTCAGAACCTTCCATGGCTTCCACCTCAGTCACAGCCAAAGCCAGAGCCTTGTCTGTCACCCCCGGGGCCTTGCTCCACCTCCTGCTTCGCCTCCCTGCTTTCAGGTCTCAGCCGCTTCCCCCAAGGACTCTGTGTCCAAAATGGTCCTGCTCCCTCGTCCTGTCCCCCCACCCCGATCTATGGGGGCCCAATTATGTTACAGGTCCACTTCTTGCATGTTTGTTTGTCTAGTTCACTGGCTGCTCGGGGCACAGATTTGTCAGTGCCAGGGACTGGCTTCGTGGCATCTGTGGGTTAAGTCAGAGCTGCCCCGGCTGCTCCATTTCCAATCCAGCTTCCCGCTAATGACCTGGGAAAGCAGTGGAAGAGGCACCAAGTGCTTGGGTCCCTGCACCTGTGTGGGAGACCCGGAAGAAGCTCCTGGCTCCTGGTGGCCATATGGGGAGTGAACCAGTGGGTGGAAGAGCTCGCTCACTCTCTCTCTCTTGTCTCTAACTCTGCCTCTCAAATAAATTCATAAAATCTTTACCAAAAAGAGAGAGAACCTAACCCGTCCAGCTGAGGGGAATTGCTGAAAAAGATGTGTTTAAATTTCCCACAATGGTTATGGGCTTGAATATTTCTCCTATGGGTCTGTCCAGTTTTGCTTTCTGTGTTTTGAAGCCATGTTATTAGGTACATACAGATTCAGTGTTCTTATCCTGATGAACTGAACCTCGGTCCATCATCTGGTAACCTTGGTAACCCCTTTATTTACTACTTCATGCAACAAAGTGAACACCCACCTCCCGATCACCTGTCCTCTCACCTCCTGATCCCTGTTCTCTCTCTCACCTCCTGACCCCTGCCCTCTCATCTTCAGATCGCTGTTCTCTCTCACCTCCTGACCCCATCTTCTCTCTCACCTCCTGATCCTCTTCTGTCTCTCACCTCGTGATCCTCTTCTGTCTCTCACCGCATGATCCTTGTCCTCTCACCTCCCGATCACCTGTCCTCTCTCACCTCCTGACTCCTGTCCTCTCTCTCACCTCCTGATCCTCTTCTGTCTCTCACCTCCTGATCCTTGTCCTCTCACCTCCTGATCCCTGTTCTCTCTCACCTCCTGACTCCTGTCCTCTCTCTGACCCCTGTTCTCTCACCTTCAGGGTCACCTGCTGTCTTTCTCACACACACCCCACATTATTATGATACCTCCTCCATGCTCTCGCTCACTCCACAAACTGAAACCCAGAATCCTCCTCACTGCCCAGCCCCTGTCCCCACCCCCATGGGCCAGCCCCAGGGACCCAGGGCTCACCTGCTAACAGGGCACTGAGCCTCCTGGGAGGAAGCCGCGCCCAGGTCAGCTTCTCCAGGGGCTCTCCATCTCTGGCCCAGTCCACCACGTACTCCTGTGGCTCCCCGGATCCCGGCGGTCGCCAGCTCACTCGCAGTTCCCCGCTCCCCGCACTGCTGACCACCACGCCGCGGGGGGCAGAGTCTGCAGGGGGGGTGGAAGAGGGGCACGCAGCTCAGCCATGGCCCAGGGAGTTCCCTCCAGCAGGTGTGGAGCCCAGCAAGGCCCCAGCCCCTTACCCAAGCAGGCCAAGGAGAGGTTGGTGAGCGGCTTCCAGCTCGTGGCGTTCACGGCGGACACAGCAGCCCACTGGGCACCCGCGGGGATGCGCACGCTGCAGCAGGCGACCCCTTCCCCAGGCGGCTCCTGCTCTGGAAACCACACTCTGTAGCTCACTGGCAGGCAGGACCCTGGGGGCTGAGGGGAGAGGGGAAGAAGGGGTTACTGGCTCCCATGGACCAGAAACTTCCTAGGCAAAGCCACTTACTTTTTTTTTTTTTTTTTTTTTTTTTGATTCACTTATTGGGAAGGCAGAGTTACACAGAAAGAGAGAGGTCTTCCACCTGCTGGTTCACTCCCCAAATGGCCGCCACAGCCAGGGGCTGAGCCAGGCTGAAGCCAGGAGCCAGGAGCTCCATCCAGGTCTCCCATGCAGGTGCAGGGGCCCAAGGACTTTGGCTATCCTCCACTGTTTTCCCAGGCGCATTAGCAGGGAGCTGGATTAGAAGTGGAGCAGCCGGGACTTGAACCAGCACCCACATGGGATGCTGGCATCGCAGGCAGTGGTTTTATGCACTATGCCACAATGCTGGCCCCAATGAAATGTTTATGATGGAACCATTTTACAAATGGGGAAACTGAGGCTCCAAGGCACTCAGCGGTGGGAGGTGGGATTCGGACGAGGTTCCGGAGCAGGATAAAATTTGCAGAAAGGGATGGAGGGTGGGGCGAGATATGAAAACCTCAGGAACCAAGATACATGAAAGCTCAATGCAGTATTTTAATTAAAGTCAAAATTAATGCAAAAAAATCCACGACCAACAAAATGCTATGGTTTCACATAAAGACAGCGTCTGAGCCTGCAGTCGTGAGGCCCCGCCCCACTCCTCTAACTGTCATCCTGGCCCTGCCCCCAACCAATCTGGACTTAAAGCAGACGGTGCGCTGGGGACTCCAGTTTGCTGATTTGATTTTTTTAAACTATTGCATCAAGGGGCCGGCGTGTGGCACAGCGGGTTTCCACTGCCGGTTCGAGTCCCGGCTGCTCCACTTCCGATCCAGCTCCCTGCTGATGCACCTGGGAGAGCAGCGGAAGACGGCCCAAGGGCTTGTGCGCCTGCTACACACGGGGGAGACCTGCAGCAGTGAGGACTCTCACACTCTTCTCTGCCATTTTTACAAAATCCTTTTTGCCCCTGGGCATTCAAACTCTTAGTACGCAGTGCGTTACACCGTGTGGAGCTGAGTTCGAGTCTTCACTACTTAACTCCACGCCCAGCACCCTACCCTGCACTCTTGGAACACTCTCCCCCTGCTGCATTCTCAAAGCAGCCTCTAGAGGGCACCAGGGAGCTCGCCCATGGTCTCATCCGCGTCTTGGTACCCCGGGGGGTCTTCCTGGCCCCTGCGGCTCACCGTCCACAGAAGCAGGGGGTCCTGTGCGCCAGGCGTCCCGCAGAGGTTCCCAGACACCCACACGTCTTTTGGAGCTAGGAAGAAGAGAAACAAAGTGGTGGTGGTCGTGGTGGTGGAATGAATGAGAGAGACAGACTCCTGGGCACAGGGGATGTGTGGGTCAAGCCCAGAGGTCCCACCCGAGGGCAGCGTCTGGAAGGAGAGACTGGGGCTCCACTCGCCCCACAAGTCCTCCTCGTCCTGCGTGCGGCAGCGGCCGGACACCCGGTAGCTGGTGGCCAGCTCCAGGTCCTGGATTTCCAGGGGACTCAGTGGGATGGTTTCCAGTTCTGGTTCCAGCTGGGGAGAGAGACAGGTGGCAGGGGACGGGGGCGGGGGGGGGGGAGTTGTGTTGAGTGCACAAGACCTTATGAATTAGCAGACACAGCACTGGCCTGGTTTGCCCAGGCCCGGGGCGGGGCGGGGAGACTTCTGTATAGAGCAATGGACATTCTGTTTTATTTCTTTCTTTATTTGAAAGGCAGAGTGACAGAGAGAGAGGGAGAGATCTTCCATCTACTGGTTCTCTCCCCAAATGCCCACAGCAGCCAGGGCTGGGCTAAGCTGAAGCCAGGAGCCAGGAGCTCCATCCGGGTCTCCCACGTGGGTGGCAGGGACCCAAGCACTTTGCGCCACCACCTTGCTGCCTGCCTTTGCCCTTGCATTTGGGGTGGAGGTGACCAGATGCCTGTGCAAGCCTTGCTGTGGGCTATGGACAAACTCCAGCAGCAGGTACATGCTGGTCCCTGCCTCGGCTCCCGGCTCTCTGATGGGGAGGAGTCTCCAAGTCTTGCCCAGGGTAGGGTGGGAGGCAAAGGGAGCCTGACACTCACCAGGACCCAGTCCTGCTCCAGGCATTTCTGGTAGCGGAACTGGCAGATGAGGACTTTATGGGACGGCCACGTAGGTGCTGCCCAGTGCACCGTGGCGTCCAGGGGTTCGCCCTCTGAGAAGTCCACGTCTGGCCACAGCTGTGGCACATTCGGTTTCACTGGGGAAGGGGAGGTCAGGGTGAGGTGGGGGGGGAGCTCCACACACCCCGCACTCCACACAGAGCGCCCCATTCCCACCACGCCCCCGTCCCGTTACCTCGGGTGTCCAGGTTCACGGAGATCGGAGGCCCCAGCGGCCGGCCCGCCCCGGACCCCCAGACACGGAGTTTGTCCGAGGCGGTGAGCTCTTCCCGAGGCACCGTCACCCAGTGCTGCCCGGCAGCCACCGCCACGGTGTACGTCCTGCTGGGGTGGCTGTGGAGGAGACGGGGGGGGGGGGAGACGGGCGTCCGGCCAGGGCCCCAGGCTGACAGCCCCTTGGATCGGCAGAGCGGCCACTGCCACCCACTCTGCCCCCTGCCCCACACCGCCCCGGAGTTCCAATCCCAGAGCTGTGTGACCTGGGGCGAGCGCCTTGACGACTCTGCGCCTTGTTTCCCCCTCGTCCAGACGGGAGCCTTCAGGGCCCCCAGGGAAAGGGCTCGCCAGGTGTGGGGAGTGGATACAGACAGCCCGGAAACGCACGCACGCGTCCCAGGCACAGCGGGCTCAGCCAGTGCTGGTGGCACCCACATCGTCCCCTGTGCAAGTCCTGGCTGCTCCACTTCCGATCAAGCTCTCTGCTGTGGCCCGGGAAGGCAGTGGAGGATGGCCCAAGTGCTTGGGCCCCTGCACCCGCATGGGAGACCCGGAAGAAGCTCCTGGCTCCTGCCTTCAGGTCAGCTCTGGCTGCTTTGGTCTTTAGGGGAGTGAACCAGCAGATGGAAGACCTCTCTCTCTCTCTCTCTCTCTCTCTCTCTCTCTAACTCTGCCTTTCAAAAACAAAAACAAACAAACAAAAAAACCCGGACACACCAAGCCGCACTCCCTGTGACTCGATGGACAGGATGTGACCAGGGCAGGCAAAGCTGCAGAGACAGGAAGCAGAGGAGGGGCGGCGGGGCGCGCTGGGGGAGGGGTGGTGCTCTCGTGGGATGCTGGTGACGCGCAGACCACGGCTTAACCTGCTGTGCTGTGTTGTAGGTTTTTTAAAAAAGATTTATTCACTTATTTGAAGGATTGGGGGGGGGGTGGCTTCCATCCGCTGGTTCACTCCCCGGATGGCCGCAACAGCCGGGGCCGGCTCAGCCTGAAGCCAGGAGCCAGGAGCTCCATCCGGGTCTCCCAGGTGGGTGGCAGGGCCCAGGTCCTTGAGCCTCCCAGGGTGCGCATGCGCAGGGAGCTGGCTCGGACACAGAACTGGGACGCCCAGACCCCGGGAAACGGGATGCAGGGTCTCCACGGCTGAGCCCTATGTGTGTGTTTTAACCACTACTAAAAATAAATAAGTAAAAATAAAACCAGCCCCTACCCCCATTGCTGTCTCTCACTGTTCTGTTTCAGTCTCCCCCACCGCACTGTAGCCCAGTTTGAAACTGTACACTTCTGGGGCCGACGCTGTGGGGTAGGAGGCTAAGCCTCTGCCTGCAGTGCCAGCATCCCATAGGGCCACCGGTTCGAGTCCCGGCTGTTCCTCTTCTGACCCAGCTCTCTGCTGTGGCCTGGGAAAGTGGTGGAAGATGGCCCAAGTGCTTGGGCCCCTGCACCTGCGTGGGAGACCCGGATGGAGCTCCTGGCTCGGCCTGGCCCAGCCCTGGCTGAGGCAGCCATTTGAGAAGTGAACCGGCAGGAAGATGGAAGATCTCTCTCCCTCTCTCTCTCTCTCTCTCTCACTCTGCTTTTCAGAAAAATAACATAAGTCCTTTTTTAAAACATTTAAAAAGACAAGTTAGCGTCACGTTATGAAACATTTCCTCCTTGCACAACGCCAAACCCTGCGTCCTCACCCCCCCCCCCGCCCCAGCTCCTTCACCGCTGGCACTTAAGACAGAACTCAAAGAGGATGAGGCACCCATCCGGGGTCACGCAGCAAGCAAACCAGGGGGCCTCGCGGTTGAAGGCGGACCAAGCGCAGGGAGGGCCCGGCTGCTGGGGCTCCCAAAGCCTCTTCCCCCAACCCGGCCCCCCGCGCACTCACTAGTGGCTCTGCAGGTGCAGCAGGAACGGGGTGGCTCGGTCCCCACGCGGCTCCCAGGAGCAGTTCAGGTCCCCCAGGGGTGCCACTCCATGGCACTGCAGTGTTCCCGCACTGCCTGCAGGGGGAGCCAGAGAGCCCAGGGGCCGCGGTCAGCGCCCCCAGCCCCGCCGCCTGCCCACCCCTTAACTTGACCTTCCCCAGGCGGTGGGGGGGGGACTCCGGGGGTCCCCGGATGGACACGAGGGGCAGGAAAGGGGCGCTGGGCACCCCGCCGCCACCACCAGACTCAGGGTGCCGCTGCCAGCCATATCCTGCCACCACCACCCCTTACCCACTCCCCAGCTTCGTTCCTCACCCTCGGGGGTCCCCAGGCTGAAGGCGGGGGGCGTGGGTGGGGGAGGGGGCGCGGCGGCGGCGGCGGCGGCGGCGGAGCCCCAGCGCCACCCTGCACGAGCACACACACGCCCGCGCGCCCCCCGCCACTCCTCCCCAGGACGGGTCTCGGGAAGCCACAGGAGGAGCGGGAGTACGGGCAGCAGCAGCAGCGCCAGCCGAGGAGAGGGGACAGCCGGGGACCCTCGCATGGTGGCGCCCCCCGGGCTCGGTGCCGGCGGCGACAGGAAGCGAGGCCAGCCCCGCCGCCGCCCCCGCAGCCTTGGGTCCCGCCCCTGGCCCCCGCTGCGGCGGGAAGTCCCCGGAGTGGCTCGGCTGGGGCGGGGCTGGGGACACGGGGGAGGCGGAAACCCATCCTCATCTGCCCTCTCCCCCCTCCTAGCGACGACACCCAACTCGGCGAGGCCTTTGAACAACTTTTATTTTCCTTTTAACGCGGCACTACCCCCCACCAGGTCCCCGAGCTAGGGGTCTCGCCAGCATCCGAGTGGGTGACAAGGCTGGGCTGGGACAGGGACGTCGTTTAGGGGAGGCAGGGGCGTGTGCGGGGAGGAGGGGTGCTCAGTGCACCAGGCAGAGGCTTGGTTTGAGGCTGCAGTTGGGGTCAGGAGTCCCCCTGTGGCCAGTGAGGAGCAGAGCTGGCGCTCCGTCCATGGTCAAGGCTGGGGCCAGGGGCCGGGGGGAGGAGTGGAAGGCGGGGCTGGGGGCCCGGCTGCTGCTCCCCGGCGTCTCCCGCGGGCGCTAGCATAGGATGCTGAGTTGGCTCTTGGTGCAGCCCCACTTGCAACAGAAGCTAGAGAGCCCACCCTGGATGTCACGGCTCTCCCGGGCGGCCTCCGGGGTTTCCTGCCAGCCGGCTCGGCCCCTGGAGAGGGCCTGGGGGGACTGGGGGAGTGCCAGCCACTCGCTGGAGCTCATGGACTCGTCCGGCTGTCCTGCCAGGCTGTCGGTGTCGGCGTCTGCGTCGGGGAAGACCTCCCCTGGAAAAGAAAAGAAAGAAGTGTGAGAGCTTGGGGCTCAGCGGCTGTCGCACCCCGACTTCTGCGTCTCGGCTGGGCCTGGGCAACTTCTCTGCTGCTGAAACTCAAGCGTTGGGGCGTGAGGTTTTGGTCCTGCTCAGTTCTGGCTGTGTTATCAGTCTGTTCTATGGGCAGGTTATTTAACTTTACCAACACGTGTAACTTTCCTCTCTTTGTCATTTATTCCCCCTTACTCTTTATATAATGGAGGACCTGGTAGTTAAGAGCTGGGCTGACTGCACACAGATCCAATCCTGAGGAAGTGAAATTCCTTCCTTGAGCCCATTTCCTTGTATGGAAAGTCTTGGGGGGGGGAGGCGTTATAGTCCCCAACTTCTTCAGGGGTCGAAGTAGTAGAGTTCAGACAGAAAATGAGTGTTCAAGCCACATGCAGAATACCACGGGTTGTGTGTCAAGCACGACCTCTGAACCCCACGCGATTCTAAGTGTGTCACCAGGGAGTTCAGAGAGAGAGGAGAGGCCACGGCCAGGCGAGGTCACCCAGTAAGGTAGCAAATCTGGCCCCTCACCCTGGCCACCCCAGACAGCACCTCAGCCTTGGCAATGGCACCCACGCGCACCCCAGCCCTTGAGCCCTCCATCCAGGCTGAGGGGAGGTCTCCCCCAACCCGGGCCCTGCCGCCCTGGTCCCCATCTCTCCTGCGACCTGCAGGTCACCCGTCCCCCTTCTGGCCCCAGCCTCACCGGTGGCTTCCCGGGCCAGGATGTCCGAGCGCCGCCAGCGGGAGCTGCCGCACGTGTAGATAACAGCGCGGATGAATTCACGGCCGCAGAGTTTCACGGCGTAGGGCGCAGTCCGGGCCTCGGCGGCCCCGAGCCAGCGCTCGCCGGCCAGCGCCCACCCGCTCAGGAGCGGCAGCAGGAGCAGCACCCAGCACTTGGCCATGGTGGACAGAGCGACGCCTCGGACTGCAAGGGCCGCTCGGATCTCTGCCACCTGCCTGTCCCCCACCCATTTATACATCGGCGCCTCCCCGCACCCAGCCTGCCTGAGGCCGAGTCACCTCGCTTATCTCTCCCAGCACAGACACACGTCTGGGTCACTCCTCGCCCCCACCAGCTCCGACCTTTCCCGTCTCCCGCTAGGACGAAGCGATAACCTTTCTCCAGGGAGCAGGTGACATGGCTCAGCTGGCCGTCAGCATCCATCGCCCGGGGCCGGGGACTTTGACTCAAGCCGACCCCTGCCAGGGGAAGGGGAGGGGGCTCAGCCAGACCCCCGCCCGCAGGGTTGGCGTGCACAGCTCTCTTCTGAAGTATAGTAAGAGTGAATGTTCCATGCTTACGGGAACACGGACAGCTGTTTGCATTTTCTGCCTGCATAGTGTGTGTGCATGTATTTTTAAAGAGTTATTTATTTGAAAGGCAGGGTTATGGGGCGCGGGGCAGCGAGAGAGACAGAGAGAGGTCTTCCATCCACTGGTTCTCTCCCCAAATGGCCGCACGACTGGAGCTTGTCCCATCCGAAGCCAGGAGCTTCTTCTGGGTCTCCCATGTGGGTGTAGGGGCCCAAGCACTTGGGCCATCTTCCACTGCTTTCCCAGGCCACAGCAGAGAGCTGGATCGGAAATGGAGCAGCTGGGACTCGAACCAGCCCCCATATGGGATGCTGGCACTGCAGACGGCGGCTTTACCCGCTACACCACAGCACTGGCCCCTGCGTGCCTACGTTTTAGTCCCAGCTCTGATTCCAAGCTCCCTGCTAATGCACAGCCTGAGAGCCAGCAGTGATGGCCTGAGTCCTTGGGTCCCTGCCACCCCCGTGGGAGACCCGGATGGAGCTCCTGGCTCCTGGCTTCAGCCTGACCCAGCCCTGACTGCTGTGGCCATTTGGGGAGTGAAGCAGAGGATAAGAGATGAGGCTGTTTAGTGGCACTGGGGGTCTGTGCGCCCCCTCAGACGTAGGCAGTGGCTGGAAAGCCTGTCTCCAGACCCACTGGCATCTCCCCCACTAATGGATTCTCTGCTGTAGGTGTGACCTTTCAGCCTCAAGTCACACCTCCAGAGTGGCTGCGACCCTGCACCCAGAGCTGGCGGAGGAAGGGGTCTGAGCCCCTAAGGAGGTGGACAGCTTCCAGGAGACCCCCGCTATGTCCATGAGCCCCAAGCCAATCAGCAAATGTATGTGAAACCCTGCCCGCCACTGTCCAATGGGCACCCCCAATAGGGGGAGAGAGAGAGAGAGAGAGAGAGAGAGAGAACCTTCCACCTGCTGGTTCACTCCCCAAATGCCCACACCAGCCAGGACTGGGTCAAGCTGAAGCCAGGAGCCAGGAGCTCCGTCCGGGTCTCCCACGTGGGTGCAGGGGCCCAAGCACTTGGGCCATCCTCTGCTACTTACCCAGGTGCATTAGCAGGGAGCTGGATCAGAAGTGGAGCAGCCGGGGCTCGAACCCGTGCTCCTATGGGAGGCAGTGGCTCATCCCACTGTGCCCCAAAGCCAGCTCCCAAAATAAATTATTTTTTTAAAGACCCAAAAGTTGTTCATCAACCCAAGAACTACAGCTGCTCTGGTGAGGGGCTGGCCTGGGTTCAAATCCCAGCTCCGCGCCCTCCGTGCTGTGCATCCTTAGGCTGCTCACTGCCCTTCTCTGTGCCCTGGTTTCTGTCCCTGGCCTCCTAGGGAACTTTGGTGGTGGGGGGTGGTGCGCCCGAATCTGACAGCAGTGACTGGCTCGCAATCTGTGCTATTTGCCCGTCTCTCCCTTCGGACTGGAACTTTATCCCCGTGGCCTTTTCTTGGCTACCAGCGCCCGGCTCCCGGGTGCCCCCTGAGGCTCTGGAAGGCAGAGGGCGCATGGGATGGCTGCTGGGGGAAAGGCTGATGAATAATTCGTCTTCACCTCTGACTCCTCTGATGCCGCAGAGGTCAGGGGCTGTCGGGGATGTGGGGGTGATGCGCCCTCGCTCTCCTCCCCCAGGTCTCCGACACCTGGCTCAGGACTGGTGAAAAACCAATGCACAGCAAAGTCTCCTGTCTGATTGACTGATTTAATGAACTGGCCTGGAGCCAGAAGGCTCAGTATTTATTATCTGCCTTTTTTTTTTACAGGCAGAGTGGACAGGGAGAGAGAGAGACAGAGAGAAAGGTCTTCCTTTGCCATTGGTTCACCCTCCAATGGCTGGCGCGGCCGGCGCGCTGTGGCCAGCGCACCACGCTGATCCGATGGCAAGAGCCTGGTACTTATCCTGGTCTCTCATGGGGTGCAGGGCCCAAGCACCTGGGCCATCCTCCACTGTACTCCCGGGCCACAGCAGAGAGCTGGCCTGGAAGAGGGGCAACCAGGAGGACAGAATCCGGCGCCCCAACCGGGACTAGAACCCGGTGTGCCGGCGCCGCTGGGCGTAGGATTAGCCTAGTGAGCCGCGGCGCTGGCCTATTATCTGCCTTTGATTTGGAAGGCAGAGACACAGACAGACAGAGACAGACACACCTACAGATGGCCCCTCCATCTGCTGCTTTGCTCCCCAAATGCCCACACTGGAGCACCATTTTTTTTTTAATTTATTTGGCAGGTAGAGTGACAGACAGTGAGAGAGAGAGAGAGACAGAGAGAAAGGTCTTCCTTCTGTTGGTTCACCCCCCAAATGGTCGCTACGGCTGGTGCTGCGCCGATCCGAAGCCAGGAGCCAGGTGCTTCCTCCTGGTCTCCAATGCAGGGAGCACTGGTTTGAGTCCTGGCTGCTCTGCTTCGGAACCAGCCCCCTGCTACAGCACCTGGGAGGCAGCACGTGAGGGCCCAAGTACCTGGGTCCCTGCCACCTATGAGGGAGACCCGGATGGAGCTCCTGGCTCATGGCTTCAAGCCTGGCCCAGCCCTGGCTGTTGTGGGCGTTTGGGGACTGAATCAATGGGTGGCAGATCTCTCTCTGTCTATCTCTCTCTCTTTCTCAGTTGCTCTTTCAAATAAATAATTTTTAAAAGAGACAAGAGGGCAGCTGGCACTGTGGTGTAATGGGTAAAGCCACCACCTGCAGCACTGGCATCCAATAGGGGCGCTGGTTTGAGTCCTGGCTGCTCCACTTCTGATCCAGCTCTCTGCTGTGGCCTGGGAAAGCAGTGGAAGATGCCCCAAGTCTTTGGACCCCTGCACCTGCGTGGGAGACCCGGATGGAGCTCCTGGCTCCTGGCTTTGGATAGGCGCAACTCTGGTCAATGCAGCCAATTGGGGAGTGAACCAGCAGATGGAGACCTCTCCCTCTCTCCCTCCATCCCTCCCTCCCTCCATCTCTCTCTCTCTC